TTAATTAAATCAAACAAAGAGTTGGTTTTAGCCAATGATCGCCATTTAGTACTCTTCACCGTCGCTAACACTGCCGTCGCTGTCCTCACTATCGCTATCATCGGTGTCCTCATCGCTACCATCGCTGGACTCGCTGTCGCTCTCGTCTTCCTCTTCGATCCATTTGTCAATTAAAAGTCTTTTAAATTAAATTTGTATGCAATCCTCAACAGATACGTTACCATCATTTACAGTGAAAAGAGTTTATATACTTACAAAAAACTGAACTAACCAAGGTCAATGCCAATTGATGATCTATTCATATATAAAACTTATCAAAAAATAAAAAGTTATATAATTTATCATTAAACTTAAATTTAAAAGTTATCTTAAATTACAAAATTACCTTCATTACATTCTTAGAACAGCTTAAGATCTATATTAATCATATTAGCTAATAGTCTACCTAATTATACGCTAGGCAACAATATAACCATAGTGCACTTTTTAATAACTAAAAAATACAATTCATTATGATTAAAATTAATTACTTAAATCAATAACGTTATACTTTAGCTTAAATATTTCATGTAACAAATTTAATTAATTTTACGTTATATTGAATTATAAACATATTTGCATGTTTTCAAAACAAAATGTCGCCATTTATTTAATTATTTATTACCTAGTATACTTCTACGCCAACTTAAGCAATATCCGCTCAAAAAGTTTCCATTACTAAAGTAACTCCTTGTGGTCCTTATGGTTGACACAAACTTAGTTTTTTAATTAAAATTTAACTAAAATTTAATATCATAATTAATATAACTGACATTAAACTATTGTGTTAAACAATACATATAATAGTTAGTGTCGAGTTGGAGCTTTTCAGTTTAATAAGAGTTTAAAAGTTAATTAGTTTTCTATTTATCGATAATAATTGATTTACTTGTGATGAAACTCTTTATTTTAGTGTTTATAATTGGTAAGTTATGTACATATATTTTTAAAGTTTTATACAATTACATATTCTTAATTGGTATGTATTATTAACTTTTTGTTAGCCATACTTATAAATGACATTATTCTACAATACTACTAAAAACACGAGTATTGTGTTATAATAATTATGAAATTATTTCAACGTTGTAATAACGATATAATAATATGTATTAAATATAATGATATGACTCTTAGGTGTAATATATTGTGGACGGGAAGAGGAAGAGGCGGCTATCGATGTGATTACCGCCAGTTATGAGAGATATGGCAATGGAGTCGAAGCACCGGAAAAGTTGGAAATCATTAAAGAGAAGTGCAATGAATTGGGCAATGCTATGGGCACCGGTAGACTGTGAGTATGAAAGTCATTGTAGAATATTTCATTACATCTATGTTCTAATGTGTTATACCTTATTATTTATTAGAATTTTTTAAACAAATTAAAAAATGACACATGTAAATTAAAATGAAAAATTTGATCCGGGCCATATAGGCTCTAAATGACACTGTTCAAAATTTTAAATATAGAAGCTATATTTAATTATAGTTTGATTAATTTTCATACTAATTCTAACGAGTAAGTAATTTTTATTATAAATTGAAATGCTCAAGGACTAATTTGACAATATAATACTGTACTGTACTATTAGCACTAATGAAATATAATGAAGGGCATCTTATTATATAAAGATTATGATATACTGTATATACTTTACATTGTATAATTGTATCATATTATATATCATTCTATCGGCGTTTTTACAAAAGTGTTTAATGTTAAGGTATATAATGTTTAGTTAGTTGGAGTAAAAATATTTAAATGTATAAAGTGGTGATTAGGGTACAGGGGACGTCGGCGGGCCCATTAAACTAGTACTGTAAAAAATTATATCATAATAATTATAATATTATTGAATTAATAATAAATTATATATTGCAGTTTCTGGGATATAGTAACCGGCTTGAAATGGGCAGGTTACCTCAAACCAAAAATCCGAGAAGTGATTCTCGAGAGTCCTACCATTCAATTCTATGAAAAAATTAATTTGTTCTGCACACTGCCCGAGGACAAAATGCTGAAATATACCCCGATTATAAACGCTAAATTGGCCGACACTAAAAAACTCCGTGACCGTTTCCTTGGATACCTAGAAGATACTACAAAGCAGTCGAGAGTTAACATGGGCGAAGTAGTATGGTATGCATTTGTTATCGATCTTTATATATAAAATAATATTTAAATAAGATTATATAAGACAATATATTAAATAGTAAATAATTGATTTGTGCATCATATATAATAGTTTGCAAGGGTGTTTAGGGTCTCTTTGTGGGTACTACTGAATCAGTGTACTAACGTTAAAATGACACTTATATGCAAAGACCCTAGAAATAAGCAAATATGTGTTATGCATCACTGAAAAATAAGTATAAATTTTTTCACACAATAATTTGATACAAAATGTTTTAATGATTGTTATAAAAAATAATGAAATTGAAATACA